ACACTCAAGGGAAAGTCTCTGACCTGCTTTCAGGTCTTGCTGCTGTTTTTCCAGCTTGGCTTCCAGAGATGTCACCTTGTCACCGGCGCTGCCTCCTGAAAAAGAGGAAAGCTAAACTGTTTCCCTCCGTTCCGCATCCCCAACATCCCTCTATCCTCACACCACTGGAGCACCAGTCTGGGCCACCTTTACCTTGACGTGGGACGTTGCGTGCCCCGCCCACTGGTCTCCCCGACTCCGCCCACTCTTCCCGATGCTGCGCAGTGATTTTCTGAAGTGTAAACTGCGCAGGCCTTTCCACTGCTAAATCCTTCCGATGGATTCCCACTTTCTCAAAATAAAGTCTCACGAGTTAGCATGGCTTGCCTGCATGGCCCGGCCCCTACCCACCTCTCTGGCCCACACCTCCTGCCACACTGGACGCGTTTAGAGTCCCAGAATGTGCAGTGGTCTTCCTCATGCCCCGGTCATCACAGACTCTGCTCTCTACCTGGCTCTAACCTCCATCCTCCACTCTAACACCTACTCATCCTTCAGGGACCCTCGGCTCAGGAATCAGCATCCTTAGAAGCCTTGCCCAGCTTCTCCGGTTGGGTTATCTGCCCGCATCTGTGCACACCCTGCCCCCAGCACCCCACAAACACTCCCCTATTGCAGATCCAGCACTGGGCACCCAGCACGGAGTCCAGCAAACCCATGCTGAAAAACCAGCTCCTTGACCATCCAGCCCATCTCAGTCCCTCCCCTAGGGGCACTCCCACTCACCATGGGAGCTTAGAGCCAGGATCTCCATCAAGGTGCTCGAGGAGAAGTTGCTGAAAGTTTCCTTTAGAGTCTGCAGCTCCACTTGCAGCTGTGCTCCTTGTCAGACAGAACAGGATGAAGTGGGCTGCGCTGTGTTCCATATCACTATCCATCTGACTGTCCCCTTCCCCACCCCAGCACTGCCCCCATCTCTTCCCCTATCGTGGCTCTCATTGCCCCCAGCACTGCCTGTATCGCCTCCCCCACTGCTGCCCCACCCCTGTGACCCTTACTTTGGGACCCCATCACACAGACGGCCACCAGCAGCAGGATGTTGAAGCCCAAGACAAGCAGACTGAGGCGGAGCTGGGAGCAGAGACGCTGCAGGACAAAGGGCTGGGGAGGAGGCGTCCCTGCAAGAGAAGGGGTGTCAGGATGAGGGGCATCGGAAGCAGGGGAGCTGGAAAACCAGTGTCATTGAGCATCAGGGGAACAGAGCCTGAGGACGTACAGCCTTGGGGTGGGAGGGGGCGAGAGGAAGGTAGATGGGGGTGCTATTGGGGGAGTCAATGGGCTTTACCCCAGCGTTCATGCAGCGTGCACACACACACACATTTGTACACTCGCACCCACAGGAACTCATGCAAACATGCACACACACAGAGGTGCATATGATGCACATGCACGTGATATTCACATCATCTGTGTGCACAGCCTTGATCCTGGACCTGGGGGTCCTAGAGGCTAGACCCTGTCTTAAAATTTGTCTGGGCCCCTCAGACAAATCCAAAACTGGGACAACTGCCCCCGATTCCACTGGGATACTTAAGTCAGGGTCATTCCACCATGGACCACTCCCCAGGGGCCGCCCCCCAAGCCCATCCTCCCATCTCCCACCACTCAGGGCCTCCTTGCCCTCTTCCCTCCGCCCTTGCCCCCCAGAAACCTCTGTTCCACCATAAACCTTCTCCCCTTAGCGCTCAATCATCTCACAGAAACCTCTCCGTCCCCCGTGACCAAGCTGAGCCCTGATCCCCCCACACACACACAATCACACACGCATTTTTCATTTCACTCATGCGTGCACACACTCTCCTTAGCACATTCTCACACACGCACTAAGATGCCCGTCCTCTCACACACTCTCGCACATACTGCAGCACACGTAACACACACACATTCTCACACACTCACACGCTCTCACACTCGTGCACCCACATCTTCACACACGCAGAGCTGGCCTCTCCCCTCCTGCCAACTCCGCAGGCTTGGCAGTGGCTGTCCTCCCAGCCGTGGGCTCCTGCTTTTGTGTCTTCCTCCTGCAAACAGAACACTTCCTCTTCCCTGCCTTGGACCCTGAGCCCCCTCTCTCCACAACCAGGCACCCCCTCATCCACCCAGAACTCTTGACCCCTCACACCAAGGACTGTCACCTTCCTCCACGTCAGCCACACCCAGCCTTCCTCTTGACCCAGGCAGGCATGTCTCTGACACCCCACTGCCCACTCCCCGCTCTCAGCATATCCTCCCCTTTTCCTCTCACCCCCAACAAGTCTTCCTCAATCCCCTGGGAGAGAAGCTCTCCCAGACCACAGTCTTCCCCACCCAGAGGGGACCCCATGGCTGAGCCCTGACTGCTCTCTCCAGCACCATCCACTCAGCGGGCCCCTGTCCTGCTTCCCAACCTGACCTATGACCTATAAACCCCTGACTCTGGGTCAGCTCAGCATTTATCTCTGCACCTCTACCCTGAAACCAGACCCTCCACGGCTGATCAGCTGTGCCACCAACTGGCTCTGAGGTCACAGACAAGTCATTGAACCTCTGGGCGCCTCCGTTTTCTCATGTCCACTTAAATGAGGAATCTAAAAGAGTCAAACTCAGGAATTGAGGGTACAATGGTGGTTGCCAGGGGCTGGGGAAATGAGGAATTGCTGTTCAAGGGGTATAAAATTTGTCATGCAAATTGAATAAGTTCCAGAGACCTGCCGTATAACATGGTGCCCGAGCTCACAATGGGCTGCTGGGCACTTAAAAATGTGTCAAGTGGGTACATCTCATATTAGGTGTTCTTACTGCGATTTTTAAAAATTGGGGTAAGAACAGTAGCTACCTGAATGGATTATTCTGAGAATGAAATTAAACATAGAAAGTGCTGCACAGGCAAGTTTGAAAGTGCACAGGCAAGTTTGAAAGTAAAAAAAAAAACGGGTCTAAACATGGACCCAGAGGGACTAGATTTACCCTCCTCCCAGAAACAACCACAACAAAAGACAGATAGCTGTAAGACACAATATTTTTCCAGACACTGGGATTCAGGAAACAAAGGGCAATGATCCCTGTGGAGACAGGAAACAAACAAGGTGAGCCCTCTGATTGCCCCAGCCTCCTGCTGGGAGAAAGTTTTCAGGCCACAGGGCTGGGAGGGGAAATCCAATCAGAGCCCAGATGGAGCTGGAAGTCTGTGGAGACCAAAGGGGTCAGAATTCACAGGACAGAGGATCAGAGAAGAGAGCTGCAGAGAGAATCCCAGAGATCTGGGGAAGGTTTCCCTCAAGCAAGCAGCTGAGTACTGATCAACACATGCGTGTAAGGAAAACTACCCAAGGCCAGGAGAAAAATAATCCAAAAGCTTTAGGGAACAGTGCCTGGCAGGAATAGGGCCAAGAATAGTGCCTATTCCCACAAGCCAGACTGGAAATCTCATAACCCACAGGGCACTGGGTAGAGTATCCAAGAAGTTCCCAACCCACCTAACAAATTATAAAAGCAAACCCAAAAGGATCAAATTGACTCCAAGTTACTTAACCACATCCCAGAGCAAAGCTCATGAATATTTAGAGGAATACAAATATATCCAGCACACAAGGAGGTAAAATTCACAATGTCTGGCATCCAATCAAAGATTACCAGGCATACAAAGAAGCCAGAAAACACAACTCATAATGAGGAGGTTAATAAATCTACCCAAACTGATCCAGAACTGACACAGATGTTAGAATTAACAGACAACGACATTAAAAGTTATTGTAAAGTATTCAAAAATTAAGTTGGCTATCAAAGAAGATATTTAAAAGTCCCAAGTTGAACTTCTAGACATGAAAACTACAATGTCTGGAATGAAAAATACACTGGATAGAATTAGTGGAAGATTAGACATGCATAAGGAAAGATCAGTGAACTTAGAGACATAGCAATAATAACTATATAAAAAGAAACACCAAGAGAAAAAAGATTCCCACCCCTCCTTCCAAACTAGAAAGACCACCAGTGAGCTGTGGGATCACTAATATATGTGTAATTGGAGTCTTGATGGAAAGGGGAGATGGGGATGCAGAAAAATTTTTGGAGGAAATAATGGCCAATATATTTCTAAATCTTCTGAAAACTATAGGCATATAAAAGGCTGGGGAAGAATGGAATGTGGTCCCTGGTAAGCAGGTGGCAGATGTCAGCTGTTGACTTAAAAAAAATGTTCGAGTTCAGTTTTATTTGGGGCAAAATGAGGACTGCAGCCCAGGAGACAGATAACTCTGAGAAACTGCCCCGAGGAGGTGAGGGGAGGAGCCAGGATATATAGAGGTTTTGCAACAAAGGGCTGGTAGTTGGGAACATCAAAAGATTATTGTTAATTAAAGAAAACCAGATATCTCAAGTTAAGAGCTTTTCTATGTGTGGGAAGATGCAAGGGTCTGGGCTCACTGAAATCATTCCTTTGATATACACCTCAGCCGTCTGGGGCCAGTATCATGTATTTTCACATCCTGAGTTTCCTCAGGGCTCACCGCAGGGAGTGGCTGCAGTCTGATAGCTGCTAGATGGCAGGTATTCTTTTCAGCCCCGAGTTCCCTCAGGGCTCACCAGCTCCCATTGGAGGGTTGCAATGTTGATGACTGTGACATCCTTTGTTTATTGATATGGCAGGAAATATTCCATTTATAAATATTCCATTTATCACAGCCCACATGAAGGCAGCAGAGGCTGCTGGAGAGAAAAGTACTGATGGTTGCACCTGCTCGGTCTCACCCTGCAATGCTGTCCACCAGGTCTTTTTTGGGTGAGCCCCCTCGCCCACGAAATCCAAAACCTCTAGACTCTCTCCAAGCCTCCTGTTTAAACACTGAATCCTCTTGTCTTCAGAAGATTCAACAATATCCAAAATCGTTTTTGAGTGTTCACTACATACCAGGCAGCACGTGGGCCCCGGCGGTGCAGAGGGGAGTAGACAGATATGGCCTCTCCCCATGCAGCCTACTGCCTGGTGGAAAGGTCTGCCAGCCTGCTACCCCAGGAAAGGAGAAGTGTGGTGGGAATACCTGTCCTTCCTGCTGTTCCTGCCCTGCCCAGCTCCCACCCTCACCTGCGAGAGCACCTGCCCTCCCTTGGTCTGCCAGCCTCAGGACTGAGAGGTCCCTCCTCCCAGCCCAGGCTAACCAATCCTCCTCCCTGAGCTTCGAGTCCCAACCCCTCCTGGTCTCCACAGAGCTTCACTCCATCACCAGCACAAACACCTGACACCCCTCCCCCACCCCAGCTCCAGCCCTTCAGCCTAGAATTGCTCAGATCCTTCTCACCTGAAAACCTCCTCTCAGACACTTGGAGCCTTCGGTCAAGATTTGCTAGAGAAGGATCCAGGCAGGGGGCTTGGGGTAAGTGGGAATCTTCCAGAATCTCTGTGCTCTTTCCCTCCAACTCACACCTACCCACCCCCCCACACACAGAGACACACACACGGCACACGCTACCTAGGTTGGAAGGAAAAGGGGGTCCTTTCTTGGGGTCCTGGGGGTGGAGAAGGAGGTGAGGTCAGGGGACAGTCCCTGGTCACAGAGTGAATGTGACAGAGACCTCGGAGGGACAGAGGGCGACCAGGAGCTAGACCAAGGTGGAGCGAAGCCCCAGACACCAGACACTTGCCTTTCCAGAATGGATCTTCTCTCCTGGGACTGCGCCCGCGAGTGCCTGGGCCCTCACCTCTGCAAAACTGGTGGTCGTTCTCCTCAGAGCCCAGATGCTGGATGTCCTGAAAGTCCCTCGCCATGCTGGATCCTGGGCTGTGGCTGGACCCGGGCTGGGGCTGGGGCTGAGCTCGGGCTTGATGCTGTGCTAAGATGCTAATTCAGGCGGAGGCTGATAGTAGGTCGAGGCAACTGTTTGGGTTGGATCTGAGGTTGGCAGGAAGTTTGGGGCTGAAATACAGCTGGGTCCCATCCTTCCTCAGGAGATGCTTGGGCCTTGACATGGCCGGGAGCCTCCCCTCCATACGTTCCAAATCACCCCACATCTTCCCATCAGCCCCCCACTCTCTCTGAACCAGGGTCTCTTTAATCCCAGACACGCCGGTCCCGCCTGCCTCCCGACCTCGGTTACCTGCTACAGGTTTGGAGGGCTGACTCTCCAGTCTCCCAGGCAGCCCAGGCCCCAGGGTGAAGGAGGGGCTTGAGCCAGAAGTGGAGCAGGTGGTGCTCACAGAGGAAAAGAGGGAAGGGGAGGGGGCCTGTCCAGGCGAGGGCCCTGAACCTGTGTGTCTGAGTGTCCAAGGGCTTCTAACCTGGCATCTCCTGCCCCTGGGACTTTGGACGGTAAACAGAAGTGGTTGGAACTCAGGCAAAGCGTGATGGGGGCGGGGGGCAGGACTGTCTCTGTCCCTCACAGAGAAGGGGTCTCTTTGGTCCGCTTTTCCCCCACAAGCAAGTCACCTCACTCCTCATGGCACATTTGGGAGGGGGCCAGGCCAGGAGGGGCCAGGGTGCAGTTGGCTCTTCCCCCTCTGCCCCTCCCCCCTTTCACTTCCCGCCTCTGAATTTCCCAGAATTGTTGGGCAGATATCCCTGACCAGGATCAGACGGGTCGCTTCTGTGCTCTTGCCCAATCCGGCATCTGAGCCTAGGCGCACCCCGCCGCGTCCTGCTGCATCAGCCACCAGGCTCCCCGGCTCTGGGCCAGATGGCCTCACTCTCTAGGAGGGGAGTAAAGCCCCTCAGGGACCCAAAGTTCGAGGGAAGGAGGGAAGAGCATCCCTTCAGAAGGCAGTGGGCAGGAGGGGTTCAACCTCATAAATAAGCCCCTTCTGTGGCCCTGGCAACACAAACCTCGGTCCTCACACCCAGCCATGGGGCTGAATGATCCACAGACCTTTTCTCAGGTAACTCTCACTCCAGAAGGTGGGTCTTCTGCTGTTCCCACTTCACGGAGGAGGAAATAAAGCCTTGGGGAGATTAAGTGACTTGACCCGGGTGGAGGTGGGTAGGGAAATTGGGAGGCAAAACCGGATAAAGAAGAAAAAAGGCATACCATCCGAGGGGGTCTTCACAGTCCCGTGAGAAAGACGTGCCTCCATGAACTGAGAAGCGTGATTAACTCGCCGTCTACTCTCGCGCGAACTTGCTGTCTTCTCTCGCGCGAACTTGCCATCTACTCTCGCGCGAACAATAGCTTGGGAAAGAAAACCCGGTTTTCTTCCCTGATTTTCTGACCCTTGCCAAACTTAGCTGCAGGCTGCGGGCAGAGTTCCTTTTATAAAGCTGCCTGTGTTTCCCCTTGTGCTGAAAAGGGTTTGGGACAGAGGCCTGTGCTTTTCTTGGGGTAACTTTCTGACACAGGAAGTAGCCACACACTCCAATAGCCTGGCATTCCTGCGAAGCCACAGAAGCAATGGTGGCTGCTTTGCTTTTTGACTGTAACTCGCAGTAAGAGATACGTTTTACAGTGTGATCCAGAGCACACACGCGGGCACCCACACACACGCATATTTGTATGTTTTACTTTCTCCTGAATCCCCAGTGCCTGGCACATAGTAGTTTCTCAATGAGTATTTACTGAATGAATGAATGAATTTGTAGATATATTATTAAGATGAACGTTTCATAAAACAATGCTTACCTTACTACTTGCATTCAAATTCATGACCAACTAAATTGAGTTTCCCAAGTTGGGGTCACAACTCAAAGTTTGAAAAACACGACCATGAAGTCCCAGTCTTGGCAAGGATGTGGTTTTAGTTCCAAGATGCAGGCACAAGCTTAACAAATGGCTTATTCTACTGAGTATCAAGGTTTACCAACTGCCATCCAGGGATGGGGGCATTCTCACCGGCCACGTACGTTTACTGAACTGATTCCAAGTTTCAGGGTACAACCCCCGACCCTGGCACTGGCGAGAGAGGACAGAGAAGACGTTTCTCTGCATCCTTCTCTTTCTCCCTATTTGAAAGTCAGCATTTCAATATACCAAAAATTGACATATGCTTGGGCTGTTTCTGAGGTTTCCATATTGTCTCATTACTTTTTGTTGGTTTTCTGATTTTGGTTATGGAATCCTGTTTTATTTGGTTGATTTAGATTTTTTGTTTGTTTCGTTTCTGTACCTCAGGTGCAGGAAGTTAGGTTAGTGGTATTCCTGAATTCATGACACCCAGTCCTCCTCGGAAGTCTGAGCAAGACCTTTCTCTTATTTTATTGCTTTTCCTCCTGCATCCTGTTTCCCCACACCAATTCCTCGACTCTTCAGAGGCAGCCAAAATCATGCGTTTGCAACTTGTTACAGTCTCCAAAGATGGCGGCCGTCAAGTTCTCCCCTCACTGTCCATGCAGGTCACACCACCCATCCAGAGGTCGAGTCCATTTCCCCTCCCCTTGAATCTGGGCTGCCCGTGTGACTTGCCTCGACCAATAGAAAGTGCTCGAATTGACAATCTGTCAGTTCTGGACCCAGCCTTCAAGAGACCTGGAAGCTTCATTTTTCACTCTTGGAAGCCAGCCACCAGGCTGTAAGGAAGTCCAGCTATCCTGCTGGAGAGAGAGACCTAGTGGAGAGACCCGGGGGGTAAGACACAATATGGAGAGAGAGAGAACATGAAGGCGCACCAAGGCCCTCCACATGTGAACAAAGCCTTCTGGGAGCTTCCAGCCCAGCCCAGCCAACAGCTGAATGCATCCCAGTGTGTAACCCTAGCCAATGCCACATGGTCCATGTGGCCTAGGCCTGCTCAGATTTCTGACCCAGAGAATCCTGAGAAACAATAAATATACAATTGACCCTTGAATGATGCAGGGGTTAGGGGCACCGACCCTCCCCTGCAGTTGAAAATTCAAGTATAACTTCACCCCCTGTATCCCCGGTTCAGCATCTGCAGATGGTGTAACACATTTTTAGTGAAAAAAATCTGCATATAAGTGGAACCACGCAGTCCAAACCCGTCTTGTTCAAGGGTCAACTGTAGTTGTTTGTTTTAAGCCACTGAAGCTTTGGGTTGGTCTGTTATGTATCAATAGATAACTGAAATAATATATATTCTTAAATATGTATCCTTATCAAATATGTGGTATAGTTTGTGTGCCTGTTTTTTAAAGTAGATAAATGGAACTTTTATACATCTCATTTGTTCCTGATCTTTTTCACCCAAGAATAAATGTTTAAGATCTAACCATGTTGCCATTTGTACATCTGGTTTGTTGCTATGAACCGCTGCACAATATTCAGTGGAGTGTATCCATCATAGTATATTTACCCAGTCCCCTAATGATGAACCCTAGATTGTCACCAACACCCAACTACCACAATGAACACATCATGTCCCCACGTGGACCTAGGTGAGACTGTCTCTAGGGACTATAACCAAGAATGAAATTGCCAGGTCACAGAATATTCTCACACTTAATTTCATGCACACACGCACACATTATTATTTTTTTTTGCATCAATGAGATCCTATCCGCAATACTCTTTTTCAGTACAGTTTTTCTTCCTTTTCTTTCCTCGATTGCCTTATGCTTCTCTACTCAGTCCCCTCACTGCATCCTCCATCCTTGCCTCTCCTGTGATAATATTAATCACCTAGAAATGGTCTTACTGTTTTATCTCTGCTATTAATGCTTCGTCAAGTTCCCATGTGGACCTAGGTGAGAATTTCCCTGTGAAATATACCCAGGAGTGAAAGTGGGAGGTCACAAAGGATTCTCTTGCTTAATTTCACTGAGTCCTGGCAGGCTCTACATTTTCCAGAATTGTTGTGCCCATTGACACTCCCACCACCAGGACATGAGGACTCCCTTTTCTGACTCATCCTTCTCAACACTTGATATTATCCAGCTTCTCAGGAGCTGCCAGCCTGATGCCATCTCACTGTTCTGGGTTGCATTTAGGGTTAATAGTGGGTCTGAACATTTCTTCATCCATTTTCTAGTCTTTCGGATTTCCCCTTGCACAGACTGCTTTTTTACATCCTTTATCCATTTTTCTATTGGGTTTCCTGAATTCACTTTGCTGATTTGCAGAATTTCTTGTATATTCTTGATACTCTTTCAGAAAACAAGAAAGGTCTTTTGAAAATAAAAAATATTATTGTTAAAGCCAAAAAAATTAACAGAAGTTTTGGAAGATAAAAATTAGGAAATCTTTCAAAAAAAAAAAAAAAGAACAAAAGGACAAAGTTTATTTTAATTTTTAATGAGAAAACAGCTAAGTTGGGGTCTTTTTTTCCCCTGGCGTCATGTTTCCATGTACATTTCCCAGTAGGGAAACTCTCTGGGCCTCCCTCCACACTTCCCTGCCCTCACTCACTCTCCCCAGGGGAGGAAGCCTGACGTACTGAGAACGCCTAGCTCAGCCCCATGGGGCTCTCTTTGGTGTCTCCCTGCTCAGTTTGTGATCTACTTTCTGCCAGGACACTTGAGCCTGCCCCTGCAGAGAAAGCCTGCTTTGCCCAGCTCTGCCTGTGACTAGGTAAATATGTCTGCCTAATTCCTGGATGAAATATTAACAAGTCCTTTTTTTTTTTTTGGCGGTATGCAGGCCTCTCACTGTTGTGGCCTCTCCCGTTGCGGAGCACAGGCTCTGGATGCGCAGGCTCAGCAGCCATGGCTCACGGGCCCAGCCTTTCCGCGGCATGTGGGATCTTCCCAGACCGGGGCACGAACCCGTGTCCCCCGCATCGGCAGGCGGGCTCTCAACCACTGCGCCACCAGGGAAGCCCAACAAGTCCTTTTGATTTAAGGTTCTGAGCCAAATCCACCTTCACTGCTTATCAACAATAAAGCTATTATTGTATATTTATTATATAACAATAAT